CTAGCTTGAACTACATGGGGAGACCATGTCTCCAAAAACTAAGAAAGGAAAACAAGTGACAAGCATCTTCAGGTTAGCCCACCGACATATTGTCACAAATCATTGTGGGCCTTGCCAGATTTAACCTACACAGCAGAGGTGGCCTTCAGTTCTTGTGGGGTCATGTTTCACACCATGCTATGCTTCCAATACTGAAATATTCCCTGAATTTTAGTCAGCTCTCTTATTATTTGTTTTATTTAAAAATATTTATTTAATTGTGTGTGTGTGTGTGTGTGTGTGTGTGTGTGTACCTAAGTGTTTTTCTGTAGCACATGTGTGCAAAGCCTGTGGAGGCCAGAAGAGGGGTTAGTTCCCAGGAACTGGGGTTACAGATGGTTTGACCCACCATGTGGGTGCTGGGAACAGAAGCTGGGTCCTCTGCAAGAACAGTAAGTGCTCTTAATTACTAAGTCATCTCTCCAGCCCCTCAAACTCGTTTTTAACTGTATAGACACTGATGTGTTGGGGTGCTTTACTAGATTTATAAAGGCAGCAACATGGGTAGAGGATTGAAAACTTGGGTAAAATAGAAGGATGAACAATTAAAAGAAAAAAGACTATTTCCCCCATCCTTTCTTAGAAGAACTGTTAACTATTGAGTCTTTGTCTTTAATCTTTACCTTTATTTTGTGAGGGTGACGAGGGAAGTGTGTGAATGCCATGGTGCGTGTGATTAGAGGTCAGAGGACAACTTGGAGGAGTCAATTCTCTCCTTCCACCGTGTGGATTATGGGGATCAGAATCAGGCTGTTAGGTCTGATAGCAAATGCCCTTACTGGTTGAGCCACACAGCTTACCTTTGTTTAGGCATTATGAGACACATGGTCACTGTGTAGTCCAGGGCAGCCTTGAAGCCACTATATAACCCAACCTGATCTGAAGTTCTTGATTCTCCTGCCTCAATCTCCTGTGTGCTGGGACTACAGACGTCAACAGCCAGGTCTAGTTTCACTATTATTTTAGGTGGTATATTTAGACCTCCTTGAATGAGTTCACTAGCTTGTGGTAGCATTACCCTGTTTCACCTCCCAACCTTTTGGCTGTATTTTGCCATTTAGCCCACTCATCAGCAAATGTTTATCAAGGACATACTATGAATCAAGCAGCAATTCTAGATGCTGGAGTTATGAGGGTGAGGAAGTATCAGATTCTGGCTGGTATAAAGCCTATGCTCTAGTAGAGTACAGGCAATAGACAGATGGGAAAAACAGAACTGAAGAGGGTGATGCAGGAACGAGGCAGAGAGGGATACTGTGTTTGGGGGGTGGGTGGAAGTTTGAAGCAGGGTGTTGGGGAGTGATCTTATGGAGAAGGTAGCACTGTAACAAAGAATCCAGGGAGGTAGAGAAGAACCAGGAGGTGATATGGTGAGCGATCCCTTCCATTAGAATGCAAAGTGCAAAGGTCATGAGGAAGGAGGTTGAGGTCAGCAAGCTAGAGCAGGTCTCCAAGGTGCTGGCGGGCAGGTGGGTGGGCGGCATCGCTAGCATCATCTTCAGCAAAGAAGTTTCATTTTATGTAATTTTTTTCTTTTTGAGACAGGATCTTACTATGTAGCCCAACCTAGCCTTTCTATGTAGACCGGGCTAGCCTCAAACTTGTGGCAGCCCTTCTGTCTCTAGAATGCTGGGATTATAGGTGTGTACCATTATACCTGGGTTAGTTTAAAATTTTAGTGTTACTCTATATTCCATTTTTGAAAGATTGTTTAAATTTAATTTTTAGACTGGTCTCATATATCTAAGTGGGTCTTGAACTCACTACATAGCTAAGAACAACCTTGAATTTATTATTATTATTATTATTATTATTATTATTATTATCATCATCATCATCATCATCATCATTTTGGTTTTTCAGGATCGGGTTTTTCTGTGTAGCTCTGGCTGTCCTGGAACTCACTCTGTAGACCAGGCTGGCCTCTAACTCAGAGATCTACCTGTCTCTGCTGGTATTAAAGAATGCTCCACCACCACCTCTTGAATTTTTTTATTCTTTTGATTTTACCTCCCAAATGTAGTTATTACAGGTCTGCATCACCCTGCCACATTCTACATTCTACATTGTTGACAAAATTATCTTTACTGCTGTTGCTTTGTCTAGCAATGTATTACTCCCTGACTTAATTTGCTCAAGTAAACATTGTACAAACCAGTAGCTCTGGGGCTGGAAAGAATGCTCAAAAATTAAGAACACTGTGCTCTTTCAGAGGACCTGAGTTTGGTTCCTAGCACCCATGTCAGATGGCTCACTCCTGCCTGGAACTCCAGCCCCAGGGAATGGAACACCCTCTTCTGGCTCCCATAGCCACCCTCACATACGCCTCCCCCCACACACATGATACATACACATAAAATATAAATACAATTATTTTTAAAACCAGCTATGGGGGCTAAAAAGATGGCTCAGCTGTTAAGAGCACTGACTGCTCTTCCAGAAGACATGGCGACTCACAACTGTCTGTAACTCCAGTTCTAGGGGACCTGACATCCTCACGCAGACATACATGCAGGCAAGACACCAATGCACATAAAATAAAATAAATCATTAAAAAATAAAACTACCTATGTTTCTTTTTGTAACTCTTCCCCCAGCTGTGGTCACCCCCTCCTTCCCTTACAGTGTGCAAAATGGGACATTCACTAGCTAGAGCCAGTCTCGGCTCACTCCCTGCCCCCTCCTCCCAGGCATTTTGAGTCAGTCCAAAACAGCTGGACTCAGCTTGCCTGACAGGACAGATCAGCTTTCTATTTGGTGTGGGCAAAGGGAGGTGGCAGCTCTGGGTTGCTACAGGGGACATTCTGTCCATCTGTCCCATGTGGAGTCAACAAGACGATAAGAGTCCAGTCAAAATCCTGGAGCTCAATCTGTCCCCGGTCAGTGGCCTGAGCAGGTTAAGAAGTAGTTCCTGTTCCTGGCAAAGGATCCAGAACCCTGACAGCAATAATGATGATGATGATGGTGGTGGTGGTGGTGGTGATGCCCTGCACACTCTGCTCTCAAAAAACTTCCTCAGTCATCAATTAATCCAACCTGGACCCCAGGGCCCTCAGGTGGGGGCTTCCAGGAAAGATGCCAATCCTGGGGCAACTGAATTCTCTTTCCTAACCCCAGAAGGCCCCAGCATTGCAGACTCAGGCCATTAGGATGACTTGGTAGTATGGGGAACCATTTGTTGGTGGGCAGAGACCCTCCGGGCAGTAGAGTATGCCCCTCTGAGTTCCTTCCTATGCCTCTCTGCCCACTCTCTTGTTACCCAATGTTGCTGCCCTTTCCCTTCCTTCCTCCACTGTCTGGAAGCCTCCAGACCTCCAGCCAGTAAGTAAAAAGTGTGGGTGGCCATGTCATGCATTAAAAGGGCTCAGTGTTTATGGAGAGGCAGTGTGACGTCACCAGCAGATTCCCGGTCCTGGGAGCCATCATACTTTACATCCCAGACTGTTTACAAAGCTGCAAATTCCATTTAAGTGGTTTGACTTGACCGTTTCATTTTTCTTTTCTCCTCATGAGAAAAAAATGAGCAAAACCATATTAACTATCTCTCATGAGAATTTAATCTTGGGAGAGGGCTCTGTAAGTTTTAAGTCTTGGGAATGATCCAGAAGCTACAGAAAGCATGGATGAAAGAGGAGTGAGTGTTGAGAGATTGGACAGAATGAAGACACTACTACCACTTTCATCCCCACCATCACCCATTTCCCAAAGGAGAGAAGGTGGGGCCAAGGCAGGATTCTGCCAGGTTGGTGAACTCAGGGGGCCCTAAAAGAAAAGTGGGAAAAAGCCACAGGAGGGCATGGCTGGCAGACAGGGGTCCCAAAGGCACTGTCTTTATTTTCTCTCCTGAAGTGGCAGCATATGGGGGGTTGGGAGCTGAGGGAGAGGGAGAAGGATGGAGGGAGGGACAGACAGACACTGTGTAGGTGTACTCCACATACAAGACTATGGGTGGGAAGTCCATAGCTGTTTCCCTGTTCTGGTTTTGCAGGGAAGGGTACCCCCTGGCTCACAACGGGACCCTCCCTGTTCAGGACACTTTCTCATTGAGGATAGAAACATGAGGTGTGAGTCCAAAGAGCTCTTCTTTCTGTCTATCATGAGTCCCAGACATTGATTATCCATGACTAGGTATTTAAGAAACTTCGGCCTGGGGGAGTTGACCCAGAGGGGCAGGTGAGGTCCTAGGAGAGCCATGGAGAAAGATGGCTGAAAGCTCAGGGAATGGGTTCTGACCTTTTCTAAAGGAAGACAGTAGAAAGAGGAATAACTCAGTTGCCAAGTCGGTCATGGGTCTTTCACAAATGGTTTCTAACTTACTCTTCACAGTCCTACTAGATCAGGATCGACTAGTTATCTCATTTGATAGACGAAAACACAAAAGTTAGCGCCATTGTCCAGGTAGGAGAGATTGCAGTCAAGGAAGAGAGGTTCGAAACTAACGGAGAGAAAGAAGCCTGTTTCCCCTCAGCTTGGAGTCCAGGGAAGGAGAAGCCCATTCTCCGGGGTGGAATCTGCTGAGAAACCACAAGGCTGAGGATTAACTGCACCAGGCATGGCTGGTCCTCCAAATGAGTGCTGGTCACCTCCAGGTGCTTGGAGAGAACCGTGGGACACCCCAAACCCACAGCACGTATCTCTACTTCCCACTATGGTAAAGCCGTGAGTGATAGATACATCAAGATTTCTCTCTCCCTGCTTTATACTGGCTTTTTTTTCTTACGTCTACCCTAAGCTGAAGCAGGTAAACGGGGGAGGACTGATAGTCCAAGCTGTCCCCAGCCTCCTGTGAGTACAGCAGAGAGACATCTCTTGAGTACAGAGATGAGGAACCCAACACTAGCTTTTGGCAGAGGCTGGGGACCAGGATTCCCGCGGTTTGAGAAACATACACGGGTATTTGACGTCCACCGAGCCATGATGTCACTATCTCCAAGCAGGCCCAACCCCTGGCTAGCGGTGACCTCTCTCCTCTAGCAGACACTCTCCCCCACTTCTCCTCGTCTGGCCCTCCCCACTTCTCTTCCTCTGTCCCCGGGGTGAGGCCGGGGAACGGGATGGGGAGGGTGTGTTTTAAGAAGAGGCCACAGCAGGCCAGAGACCCGGCTGTTGAGTAAGCCACCCGCTCCGGGGGCCGCGCTGGCGGTGGGTGTTGGAGCCCCGC